TTGTACAGCACCGAAGTGGTAGGCCTGGGATTGGAGTCCAGTCAGTCAGCTCCAGAGCCTGTGCCAAGGGTTGCTGTCCTGGTGTTAGAAGGACGACCTATGGCCTTGGGTTTCCCTAAAATGCTAAGGTCAAATGTGCAGAGGGAGTTGGCTGGGCAGCAAGCCTATCAGGGCACCACCAGCTTCCCAACTAGCATCTGACCGCTGACACAGGGCCCCTGAAAGCTTAGCCGACAACCCAGCTAGGGCTCCACCCAGTTCTGGACAGCTTCTACTGCTCTTGTGGGCCACGAGAAGCCTGAGCAGCATCTGCCAGGAATATACCAGAACTTCTGGCTGCAAGCGGGAGAGAAGCAGGGCTATCTTCTACTCCAGTCCTCCTGGACATACCGCTCTAACTGGGACGCCAAGTGCAGCGTGGCTCACAGGGAGCCTGATTTCCATTCCAGATCTCCAAGGGAGAGAGCAAACAGCTCAGCAGACATAGGAGCAGTCCTCTGTCTTAGGCCATGCCCCACCACGTACCAGAACCTGGTGATCTCTCCATGCGTCTGTGGCTTCCTGGACCAGGTCTGGAGAAGCCAGGAATCACATTTCCCAGCCACAGAAGGTGCCTCTACTGCTCCTTGTGTCTCGATCATTCTTAAGATTCTCGTCTGAAGATGGATAGCAGACCCAAGGTCTTGGCAGAAAACCTGTTTTGCTCGAGTTTATAGGCAGTCACAGACCTTCACCCAGGACCGATAGGAATGATGTGGCATGTTAGAGCTGTCTTGCACTCAGGCATCCCAACTGGCCTCAGCCGAAAATGGGACAAATGTTCTTTCTGAGAGTTCTTCCTTCTGGCGCCATGGGGAGGCACTCGTGGACCCAGGGATCTCTCTCACTCCCTGCGGCTCTGCAGCATACCCAGTTCCCTCTGATGCACCATGATGGAGGCCATTCTTCTGCAGAAGGACACTGTGGTCCCTAACCCAGCTCCAGGGTATCCACAGGATCGAGCGGCCACCGGATGAAATGAACCCAGAGAAGGTGCTCGGTTAAACTGAGCAAGGGTCAGGGGGTTCAGTGTCACCACTGTGGGGGCCAGCATCAGAAGGCTGAATACTCCACACAGTCCCGGAGTCTGTGCTGTCAGGAACTTCTCATCAGCACCAGCTGGGCCCAGGTTTCTCACTGCCCGTTCCATGCTAGGTAACCAGAAATGCCAAGGCCACCCCTTATCCTGGAATGTAGGAGTCCCCAGAGCAGCTCCGAAGTCTCTGGGATGGCAGGTAGCAGCCAGTCAGTGCTTAGAAGAGCATAGACTCTGGAGCCAGTGATGGCAGACAGGTCCCCACCGGTGACAGCAGAGCCAGCCAGCCCCACACCGGAGGATCTTAGGAGGGAGGCCTTCCCCAGTTCAGCGGGGAGGCCCCAGCTGCTTCTGCAGACATAGGAGCCTCGCTGCTGCCCCCTTCCTGATCCTCAAGGACCTCAGGAGGTCAAGTTCTGATGACCTAGTGTCTGTGGGAGGCAGCCATGCCACTGGCACTGACATTGCCCTCAAAGGTGGTTCACATCTAGCATGGCTGTCGGAACCAAACAATTTGCATCAGCCTAGTACCCCTGGGAATTTTGTGCTGAGCCCTGAAAGGGTTCTGGAGGAGAGAGCTCTCCTGGGACAATGCTTTTGGCCTTGCCTCACTGTTTTGAGGCCAACAGAGGTGGGACATATGTGTGACATGTCCTCTGAGAAGAACTTGGGGCCTGCATTTTATTCTTTGCTATCCCCATTTACCTACTCCATGCAGCCCAGTTGCCTTTTTCGAAAAATCCCCCTCCTTCCTGCTGCTTCAAGCCACCTCCCCAGGGGAGTCCATGCAAGCCATCCTGGCAGGCCCATCTTCCAATGGAACACCTTGAAGGGGCCATCCCAATGTAGAGCCTCGGCTGGCCTCCTTCTTGTCTCAGCCATAGCTGCTGCCTACCCTAGGTCTCCTGAGTCCTGTCCAATTCTGTCCAGTTCTGGCCAATTCTGTCAGGGCCCTCTCCTTTCTCCTACCCTCTGGAACCATTAGAAATAGTTCCAGCACTGTGGAAGGCAGCTCCAGGTTGTAATGGGAAGAGGAAAGCTTGGAGATCATGTGAGGATTGTGTGAGTCCAGATCCTGTAGGCTCTTGAACTTCCTGTGGCCTTCTTCTTGGGGACCCTGGAGCACAGTCAGTCTTCCCTTTGCTAACGGCTACATCAGCTTTGCTGATGAACACCATTAGCATGTTCTGTCTCCCACTCAGCCTTCTAACCACTCCTTTCCATCTACTGCTGTCCTGGTGACCTGGCTGAGATGGTGGCACACCCGCTTTGTACCACCTTATCCTCAGCTTTGGAGATGTTCCTGGGGTTGTGCTCTGGGCCCTCAGCCTCGACCTTTCAACAGTCTCTACCTGAGATGAGCTGGGGTGGGGGATCAGGGGAGCAGATGAAAATCAGAGGAGGGACGAGGGAGGGCTGAACCCATGCTGGCTCCAGAGCAGTCAGGACGCAGGGTGGTGGTGTATCTGGCCACAGCATTCTGCTGTGAGTCAGTCAGACTCTACCCCTGAGTCATTCCATCTGCCCTGCTCTCCCCTCATCCTTACAAGGTCTATATTTAAAAAATCTTGCATCTGCTGCGGGCAGAAGAAGAGGAACAACAAGAAGTTGACCTTCAAGGTGCTGCAGGAGGAGGCCAAGAAGCTGGGGCCCTTGACCTACCCCGAATACAACGTGCTCTTCTGCTTTGTTCTGCTTATCATCCTATGGTTCTCCCGAGACCCCGGCTTCACACCTGGCTGGCTGTCCATTGCCTGGGTGGACGGAAGAACCAAGTAAGTTGACTTGGAGGAAGGCCTTTTAGTTTAGGATAATGCTGTCTAAATGCCACTGCTCTCAGCAACAGGCAGCAAGAGGAGGGTGCAACTTGGGCCCTGTGTTCTGGAGCTAGGCTTTAGAGGAACGTTCTGTGGGCTTCATTCTTTCACTGTCCACCTTGATGATGAAACTGCAGGTGCATGTGTTTCTGTGGCTCCCTCAGGTCCCACAGAGGGCTGAACAAAAAAAAAAAATGCTTGTTGAGCAGGGTGGCCAGAGCCCTGGTACAGTTTAAATGGGCTGGAGTAGGTCTCTTAGAGCCTTGGTTTCTGACATCTTCCTTTCTTATCTTTCTTTAGAACCTATCTTAGATGCATCAAGGTTACTTGGAAACTTAGTGGGAGGGAGTATATGTGGTTTCTCCCTGGGCTTTGATGGGGAAGCATACAAGAAAGGTTGAGGAATGATTACCCTGGAAAAGGCAGAAGATGTGAGTGAGGAGGTGGCTGCCCGCAGCTGGCTACTCCATCTTAGTTACTTGGCTTAGCAACAGAGTCCGTGAGGTCCAGTGAATCCAGAAGTCTAAAACTCCTGGCTAAGAAATCAGGAAGTTCACTCACGGAGCAGTGCAGGTTGATGTGTGTGGTGGGGGATGAGGTTCTGGTGATGGGGAGAGACGGTCACCCAAAGTTGGTGGCCAAGAATTTCAAGGTATTGGTTATAGCAAGACTCAGCTTCCCACCCACTCCTAACCTTGATTCTTGGGCCTCTGGTGTTTATACCTAATAGAGCCCATTTCCTCCTGAAGGAGCATTTAGATTCGGAAGTGCGGGTCGGGGCAAATTTGTGGTGGTGTGACGGTCACTGAGTTCCTTACGTGTGCTTCCCCATGTAGTTATGTCACTGACGCCACAGTGGCCATCTTTGTGGCCATCTTGCTTTTCATTGTACCTTCACAGAAGCCCAAGTTTAACTTCAGCAGCCAGACTGAGGAAGGTAAGTCTTCTTCTCTCATGGCTTTTCCAGTCATTGTGATTGGGGTCCTGAGAGCAAAGGATCCCCATGGGGTAGTTCCTGGGTCTAGAGGGCAGAGAATCCTGCCCTCCTGAACATGACCGGCTCCATTACAAAGCCTAGGGAAATGGACATTTTTTAAGACAGGTAGATTCTCTTTTTGTATCTCAATATGTGAAATCTTATTTACACATCCTGGCAGGCACAGAAAGTGTTTCAAATTCTCCATAATATTTTTTCTTCCTTTCTGTTTTTGTGACGCGCGTACATACTGTAAAGCTGTCTAAGCACACACAGCCTGAACCCTGCCTCTTTGTTGTTTGGTTTTTTTACGTTGGCTCGGAACTTCTTTGTCCACATTCCCACTATGCTACAGCTGCTAAATTGATCTTCTTCAACACTTTATCACATAGAAGGATCCTGTAATCTTCCTGCTCTGGAGTATTTTGGCATTTTTTTTTCTTTAAAAAATTTTACACACACCCCCACCTCGCTGCACGCGCGCGTGTGTGTGTGTGTGTGTGTGTGTGTGTGTGTGTGTGTGTGTGTGCGCGCGAGTGTGCCATGGTGCATGTGTGGAGGTGAGAGGACAACTCTTGGGAGTTGTCTCAGGCTTGGTGAGAAGTACCTTTCCTCCCTGTTCTATCTCACCAGCCCTGAACTTTTCATTATGTAAAATATTCTGGATACAGCTTTTTCTTTGAAAGCTGTTTCTTTAGGCTAAATCCCCAGCAGTGTTACTGTCACAGTAAAAGAATAGAGATGCCTTTAAATGCTTAATAGTTGTTTTTTTTTTTTTTTTAATATGATGGCTTTCTGAAAAGGTGGTTCCGACTTAACTATGCCCTTAGCCAAGCATATAACCAAATCCTCCCCAGCAAGCAGTACAGTGATTATTGCAAATTGTAGCTACTATGCAGGTATACAGTGGTACCTCGTGATCTTTATTGGCTAATTTCTTCTGATTACATCTCTTGCTTTCTAATGCACGTGTGCACATATGTAAATGTGTGTTTTTTCTTCACAGAAAGGAAAATTCCGTTCTATCCCCCAGCACTGCTGGATTGGAAGTACACCCAGGAGAAAATGCCCTGGAGCATAGTGCTGCTCCTGGGGGGAGGCTTTGCTATGGCAAAAGGATGTGAGGTACTTGTCCAGCTCTAGGTGGCCCTTGAATTCTACTAAGAGGTGGCAGACGTCACCATCCACCCCGCTTCCATCCCTGGGCCATCTGTCACCACAGAACTGCATATTCTTTAAGCAGGGGACTCTGTGCTGCCACCACAAACAGGGTCACGAAGGGGGAAGTAGGGCAGCATGAGAGGCAGAAGATGCTGTAGCCTTGAGGAATCCTAGGGAAGTCTCTCTGAGCCCTCCTGAGTATTCTCACCACGTCCTGTGGGTCCTCTACTTGCTTCACTCCTTGTTGAGATGGTTTTAGAATTTCAAAACTTTTTTCTAGCTAAGTACTTAGCAGCATAGGAAAAGACCAGTTTTTAAGGGAAAACGCAATTTAACAGTCTCCTGAGCAGAAGGTGCTGAGCTAGCTTGGGACTGCTATCATCCATCCATCTGTCCCATCCTCTCCCCTGGCTCCCTCTGGCTCCTGGTTCTCCTGTTCTCTCTCTCTTTCCTCCCTCCCTTTCTCTCCCTTCCATCCTTCCCACCCCACTCATTCACCCTTCCTCTCTTCTTAGTTCTCCCTTCCTTCCTCCCTCATCATCCATTCTATCCAGGCACACATCTATCCAACACATCCAGCCATCTTTCCATCCATGCAGGAACGTAACGTAACAGATAGACTTGGCCTGCACTGTGTTTAATGTTTCCTCAGCATCTAGGGCAAAGCCTGGTGCACAGGAATACATGCATGCTCTTTCTTTAGTGCTGGGGATCAAGCCCACACAAAACACTGTAGCACTGAACCCTATCCACAGCCTAACATGCAGATCATATATTGATATAAGTTAATACATGCTTCAGATGAGCAAATCCACCAGTCTAGTTACCTCTCATGCCACCATTCCTCCACCTACCAATCCATTTCTCCATCTGGCATTTTCTTTTACTTATCCAACATTCCTGGTACATTCCTAGTGATAGACCAGGCACAGAAGTTATAGAAGACATCGACACATAGTATGTGTTTTTGAAGACTTCACAGTCTAGAGACTTGGGGGCATCTACAAGAGCCTTTTGGGAAGAAGTGACACAGGATCAAAGAGGTACCTGGCTGAGGCAGTGAGGTTGAAGAGGCCAGCAGAAGCCGGCATTTGAAGGCCTGGTTTCAGGATAGCAGGCGTGGCCTTGACTCTGAAGGCAAAGAGAAACAGCCAGGAATGACTTGGTCAGATGGACATCCTGAGTCTGGAGTGGTGGTCAGAGGCCCGCAGGGCTAGAGAAGAACCAGTGGGCTCTCTGCAGTCTTCATCTAACCCATCCCCTGAACTTGGCCACTTTCTCCTTGACACTTGCCGCCATTTTGATCGCCAGGATCCCTCTTTCCCTGCCTCCCTTCTTCCACTGTCCCTCCTCAGCCTCCTCCACTGGTTCTTCTTCAGTTCTCCCACAAATGGGATCGTTTTCCAAGGCTCTGCCCTTGGCCTCTTGTCTATCTGCTTTCTGCTCTTGTCATCCTATCCCAGAGCTCTAAGGCTAAATCCTCAACTGCCCAGGTCATTCTGCCAAGCCTTGAGAATGCAGAAGACTAAGGGGAGAAGGTGGATAGGAGGCATCTAGGGTAACCTGTGACTGCTGGGTACCAGGAATTAGCAGGTCATTTTATATATATATATATATATATATATAATCTCCTAGCAGCAATGGGAGGTGGATCCGTTCACTAGTTAGGGATCCTAGAGAAAGAAGCAGATTCTGGACTGAAGAAGAGGAACCTAGGGGCTGGGGCATGTTGAACCTGATGTGCTCACAGGACATTCCAACAGAAACTTCCAGATAACATCTGACGTTTGAATCTAGTTACTAGATCAGCTGAGCCACAAGCAAAGTTGTAGGAACCAAAATATTGAGGAGGATGAAAATTGTAGGGCTGGATCAGATTACCTACGTGCAAGAGAGGGGATTGGAGATGGGGTAGACTGAGCTCCCTGGATCCTGGAGGAACTGTAAAGCAGGAGCCCTGAAATGATGTCTTCTGTGATTCCCAGGCTTCTGGGCTCTCTGAGTGGATGGCAAGACATATGGAGCCCTTGAACTCAATGAAACCTGCTACCATTACCTTGCTCTTGTCCTGTCTTATTGCTATGGTTACAGAGTGTACAAGTAATGTGGCTACCACCACCCTATTCCTGCCTATCTTTGCCGCTATGGTAAGTAAGTCTGCTGGAGACAGGAAGAACATTTCATGGGAAGTTGTGAACCCGTGACAATTTCCTGAGAGGCAGGAAAATTAGGATCCCAAGCCTCACCAGGCTTGAATACTCAAACATGGCCCTGGCTCTGATGTGGTATTGTGCACACTTGATGACCCTGGCCCTGAGGCCTCTCTTACTACTTTGTTCATTCTTTGTATTCCTTCACACCTGCCCAAAGCACCAAATGTGGACCAGGTGCACATACGTTATCGCATCAGTAAGACAGCTGGTTTGGGAGACGGAGGCAGGATGGAATGGTTGCAGGGTCAACGTGACTTAGTGAGACCCTGTCTCGGGAAAAAAAAAAAAAGGCTAGGGATATAGTTCAGTGGTAAAGCATTTGTCTGGCATGTGTAAGGTCCTGGATTCAATCCTCAGTTAGACACACACACACACACACACACACACACACACACACACACACGCACCAATAACCACACAACTGTTATATTAATCTAACTACCTGGGTTATTTTTCAAGTTAGAAGAGGGCATATGTCACTGGCTGAGACCACAGAAAGAAGCCCAGGGGATGTAGGACTCAAGAATGGGAGGATTGGATAGGCCTTTCTGTCAAGAGGAGGAGAGGGCATGCATAACTAGAGGAAGGACTGATGAATGTTGATTCCAGGGCAAACTCAGCTGTGAGCTGGGAACTGAGGAGGAAGCAAAGTCTATGGGGAAATTGGCTGTCATCTGTTCCCGCTGTCATTCATTAAGAGTAGTACTGACCTCAGGGAGTTCAGGAAAAGCCAGAAGACCTGATTCCCATTCTAGAGGTGTGCTGAGAATCCCCAAACCGTACACGATCCACAGAGCACCTGAACGAGGGAGTCACCAAAGCCTGCCCTGGAGAGGAACAGGGAAAGGCGGTGGTTAGTCCGAGCTCAGAGACAAAGCTGGTAAATTCCCATCCAAGCAGCCTGGGGCATCCAGTTCAAAAAAGCAAATAGGAGCAAATGGTTTTTCCTCCTATTGCTCGGGAAGACAGAGGTCTTTGAAACAGCAGGGGAGTTGTCTCCTTCCCTGAGCAGGCTGCCCAGACAAGGGTTAAGGAAGTAGAGAAGGAAAAGGTGGAGGAGGAGGGCTGGAGAGGAGAGCGGGAGGAGGAAGAAGACAGGCTGAGGAGGACAGGGAGCAAAGGGAGCAGGAATGGGGAAGGGGATCTTTTGGTGCTGGGCATGCAATGGGATGCTCCTCTCTCAAGCAAAGGCCTTAGCTTTGTCATCGCCTGTGAACCCTATGAGCACAGACAGCCCCAGCTAGGCAAATACAGGCTTTAACCTAAGGAGGTAGTTGGGGCCCTTTGAAAGTAAGCTCTTCTATGGGGCTGGAAAGATAGATCAGTGGTTAAGAGCTTTGGTTATTCTTTCAGAGAGCCCAAGTTCAGTTCCCAGCACTCACATTAGGCTTACAACCATCTGTAACTCTTGTCCCAGGGGATCCACCACCCTCTTCTGGCATCCTCGAGCACTGCATGCATGTGATGCACAGACATATATTCAGGCACTCATAAAGTAAAAATTTAAAAAAAAAAATCTCAAAATAGGAAGAGGCTCTTCTAGAGGCAAAATTTCTGAGTAAAATTGCCCAGAACTACCATGAAGGCCCTTCGTGTTCCTGCCTGGACATCCACACGTAGAAAGTGAACAGTGGTGAGAGTCTGGCTGAGTGACACTGTTTGCACACACCATCCTGCTCTTGCTAGCCAGTGAGTCAGTTTCCTATGTTCTGATGTTAAATCATTACAGTGAAATTTCTGTAGATGCGTTTGCACATGGAAATACACATATACATGATAAAGAGTCCCTTTGATAGCTGTTAAAATTTTTATGTTATTTATTTATTCACTAAATATATGACGAATGCCAACTCTGTTCCAGTAGATGTAGTAGAATTTTAAAGTGTAGAACCCAAAAGGCAGATACCGGGTTCCCAATACAAAGCAGTCCCGGGGAAGCATTTGCAGGTGAGGAGGACTGACTCTAGCTCTTCAGACTGCCTCTGTCTGTGACAGGGCAGGCAGATGGCTCATGGGACATTTGAAGATTCAGTGCAATCTAAATAAAGGTTCCGTATGGCCTCTGGCTTACAGCAAGTGCCCTCCCACAAAACATGTGGACTAAACTGAGGGGCTCCAGAAAAGCATCCAGGGGAGGTGGCCTCTGAGCTCAGCCTTTTGTGGTCAGTAGTTATCATGTAGAGAAGTGCGAAGTTCCCAGGGACTAGGCAGACACAGTTGTGAAGGGTGGACTGTAACCCTGGCCTCAGGGAATGCGTCGGAAGTATGGCCTGTGAGCTCCTGTGTGTTCTGTGCTGTGAGTTGTTGTGTGTCTCTCCAGGCTCGTTCCATCGGCATCCATCCACTGTACCTCATGATTCCCTGTGCCATGAGTGCATCCCTTGCCTTCATGTTGCCTGTGGCCACCCCGCCTAATGCCATCGTGTTTGCCTATGGACACCTCAAAATTGTTGACATGGTAAAAGCTCCTTTTATTTGCTCCTCTTGGATGATGTTGGTATAAGTGATGTGTCCCGTTTGTGAATGGTGTGTGAGTTTCAAAAGGATGGCATATGGGGCTGGGGAGACAGTTTAGTTGGTAAACTGCTTCCTGGGCAGGCATGAGGGCCTGGGTTTGGATTCTCAGCACCTGCACAAAAAGCCAGGAAGGATGGGGCCTGCCCTGTAACCCCAGGACTTGGGTGGTGAAATAGAAGGCTCTCAGGGGCTCCTTGACCAGCCGGTATCGCCAAATTAGTGAACTTCAGGCTCGGCTTCATAAAGCAGAGGGCTGGAGAGGTGGCTTGGTGGTTAAGAGTACTCACTGTTCTTACAGAGGACCCAGGTCCAGTTCTCAGCACCCACATAGTGGCTCACAGCGGTCTATAGCTCTTCGGGCACCAGGCACATACGTTGTGCCTGAACACACATGCAGGCAAAACATTCAGACACATAAAATGAATCTGACAAATGGGAAGGAAGATAACACCAGTTTCTGGCCCCCAGACATGCAAGCATGAGCAAGCACACCTGCACACACACACACACACACACACACACACACACACACACACACACAAGGAAAGAACAACAGAAGGACCTCATGTGATATGAGAGTACCTAAATCTATTTGACATTTTTATTTATGGTACAGCCTTTCTTATTTATGGAAATGATCTCATATGAATTCTGTTCCCATGGAAGGTCCTATCTGCAGAAACCTTTGTGGGTAAATGGGAAGTCCTGGCTGAACACTTGGAAGGGATGGAGTGGGGCCCTCATAGGACAGCAGAATTCACAACTAGTAAGAACCCTCAGGACATCCAGGAGGGGGACAGTAGTCAGAAGGGCTTGTGGAGTGTCTGAAGAGGAGATGCCTGATGAAGAGCCCATTTGCTTGGGGGTCAGTGATGTCTTGGAAGCAAACACAGTCACAGATAGAGCTTTCCAAGCCAGGTTTGGCTTTCTCACCTCTGATGGGGGAAGAGTGACTTTAGCTCTGGGCCAGGGATGAGTGAGTAGGTGAACTGGGGAGCCAGACTGGTCCTTACCTGAGGCACTCTGAGACTCCATCCTGAGTTTTCTTTAGGCACGTGGATCCCAGAAACTACATGTTGCAAATTTGATTCTGAGCCCCAGCAAAAAAGGTCATGCTAGAGCATTGGAGTGTCGGCTCATGAGTGTTAGGAAAGCCTGCAGCCTGGGTGGCAGGAAGAGCTGGAGGGTCACAAGAAGTGGCAGATGTCTCACATCATCTCTTGAAGTCACTTTCCGATGCCACAATGGGTATAGAGACCCTACCTGTGCTGACTCCTTCCCGGGGTTTCCTTCAGCAACAATGACACTTGAATTGCTTTGTCTGGGGATGAGAGGGGCCTGGAATGTAGGAACACAAGATCCAGACAAGACCTGAGTTGCTGACTGATCCTCTTTTTATTCTATAGGTAAAAACAGGACTCATGATGAACTTCATTGGAATTGCATGTGTGTTTTTGTCAGTTAACACCTGGGGACGGTCCTTGTTTAAGCTGGATGAGTTCCCTGACTGGGCTAATTCAACAAGAATTAACACTTAGGAAAAGCCACAGCAGAACAAGCATGGCCCCCCCAACCCCCTCCCACCCTTTTGAGGACTATGATCCTCTGGCGCACCTTGCACAGAGCACTGGTGCTCATACCCCAGTGTGATCCAATGATGCCAACACTCTAGAAGATCTAGCCAATTAGTCACCTCTTTCTCCAGGCTGATTCAGAGATGGCAATGGGCGACTGGAAGAGAAGTAAGTGAGTCCCTTTGAGAGGCCACGGGCCTCATCTTTCCCAGGACCCTGCCATCCCCTCTGGGACAGACAGGAAACAGCGGGACCAGAACTCAAGATCCTGTACCACGTGGCTTTGAAAGACTACTTGGTCCCCTGCTGGGCTTTGGTTCTCACATCCTTGTTCCCATGGTGTCCTCTGGATGCCCCAGATCATCTCTGTCACTCTGAAGGGACCTCCCATCCAGGACTGAACTCTGATCTTGAGCAGCTTCCCACCGCCAGAGTGAGAGTGGGAGTCAAAGCTTCCTGAAGACTTAGACTCTACATGGCGCCATCACCCATGGCTGAGCAACCTGAGGTGCTAATGTCAGGACATTCCTGCTCACCATTGACTGACCTGCCCCCTACTTGTCTTGTTTCATATTAATTAACAATTCAAAGCCCTTTCCCAGCTCCCCACTGAGCCTCCTTCTACTCCTAGATCCCTTTGTTGTCTTGGCCAGAAGCTGCTCAGCCCCCTGGCCAGAGGCTCATGAGAAAACCCCAGTTTCTCCAGGGAGCTCAGTTTGGTTCTTCTGGGAATGCTCTTCCTGCCAGACCGGTACAGCTGGGATCACACTCTGAGGATGGACAATGGTCTTTGGTGGGTGGTATCCAAGTGGCTTACCTAAGTCTCCCCTTAGCTAGACCTGGAGCAGCTTCAACAGCTCATTTCCAAGGACTGGACCACTGCAGTTGGTCTGTCCTGCTGGAGTCGAAGCTCCTCAGGGAAGGCCTTTCCCTCGCTAGCTGTGCACTGTGGCCAGGCCTGGTGGCGACAGAACGTGGTTGAGACTGAGTGATGTTTGGTGGTCCCTGAGCAGTCAGACCCCCCAGAGGAAATCAGTTGACCTGAGAGTATGGGGAATGACTCCAGAGTGTCCATGGGAACCCACAGGACCCCTCAAATGAAAGGGAGACAGGGAAGGAAGCTCCCCCTTGTCCCTCAGTGACACTCTCTTCCCTACTTATATTGCTCTGAAAAGAAGCACTGGAGGGTAGATAAGGTCCATGGGTGTCATTTTTTTCTGGGCAGAAGACAGTATGGGGACCCAAGGAATCCCCATCAAAATCCAAGTATGTGCCTGGTTCCTTGGGAGGGTAACTCCTGACCACACTGTTGAAGGCTTACCCTTGTCAAATAATCTGTCTGCTATGGAAAGTTCCAGTGGGCTGACTGGTCTGTGATTTTGTGCCTTGTGGAGGAGACAGAGGGCGGTAGATGAATAAACAGTTATTCTCTGTCCACCTCCTGGGTGCCTGGCCTTCCTGGACATGGTGAATCTACCAGTTATCATATTCCATATTTGTGGCTACCCTGTGAGACAGCCAGCATTAGGATCCCCACTTGTCCTAGAAGAAAAAAACAAGGCTTAGAGTAGCCAAAGGACAAGTTCTAAGTCCAGCTAGTGGCAGTTCTGGTTCCAATAGAGATAAACCCTTTTCTCCTTCCTCTAGTCATGAAGGGCCTTGGCCTTACTGGGTTTATAGGGAAAGGTGGGCGGCTGAGAGCCATCCTACCCGAAGGCCCTGCTTACCCAGGAAAGATCTCTAAACATGAGGCCTTCCAGTTGCCCCCTCTGAGATGGGCTCAGGAGAAGGCTGAAGCAGACAGAGTTGGTCCTTTCCCTAAAACTCTCCCTGAGGAGAGTCTGACGGAAATAGTGACCATCATGTCACATTGACAGCCTCTCCTTATGCAAATCACTGATCTCCACAGCCCTGTTGTGACTGATATCCTCGACTGCTGCTGGATCTAGGGCCAGCACTGTGGCTGAGTCAGAGCAGGTGACCCTGAGTAAGACCAAGGACTGATCTGTATAGAGTGGGCACATGCTTGATGCAGTGGGAAAGATCAGGGCGGTAGAGCATCTCAAGAGGGCCCTGACAGATGGGTAGCATGGCCAGTGGGAAGGAAAGGATTTGGTAGGGTGAGTGGAGGACTCTAGTGCTAGATACCATCTGGAGAGCAGGAACCATGGTGGAAGACCTAAGGCTATCGCTGAGTGACATCTCTTACAGCCCGGTGGGGGTGCACCAATATGTCTGACTTGCATTCACGTGGAATGCTTTGGGCTGTAAATAACTGAAACCCCAGTGGACAGGAGGACCCTTTGGTGTTTACTGAATGGAAGTGTGGAGGTAAGATCATCCAGCGGCTCATTTACGCCATCAAAGGCTTGGCCCCCACAGTCCACTCTGTCATCCTTAGGGCGTCATCCTTTTGCCCTCTCACTGGAGCTACATCTATGTTCCCTCTAGGAATGAAGAGAGGGTGCAGGAGTTGGGGGGTCTGGTCTGATGGTGCCAAAGTGCATCCTTCTCCCTTGTTAGGGAAAACTGCAGCCTTTCTCAGAGGCCCTGTGGAGACGCCCCTTTATGCTACATTGGGTAGAACCAGATCACATGCGTTTCCTTTGACCAGCCACTGACAGAGGAGATGGGTTGCGGTTGCAATACCATGAATTGGGAATTCGCCTGTGTTTCCTGATCAAGGGATTTCCATTCACTAAACAAATGGAAATCTAAATTCTAGCAGGAGAAAAGGCAAGGTAGGGGGAGCTGCTGGGTAAGCAACGGTGTCTGGTGTCATCTCTCCGGGCCACTTAGTGGCTCAGTCTCCACAGAATGCAGCAGGAAAATGTCAGCAGATAACAAGAGAGCAGATAGCCTGACTATCAAAGAGCTTAACACTGCCTCCACTTTCCAAGGACCAGGCTTCCTCTGAGGGGCCCACAGTGTGTGCCATAAACCCAGCTGGGTCCCCATATGTGACAAGGAGCAAGTCATTCTGCACTCGGGGTATCTGTTTCCACTGTGAAAGGGCCAGACTAGACAGTCTGTGAGGGCCTTTCCTAGAGTTGGGGATCCTCATCTTAGGTGACCACTCCTTTCCTTCTGCCGTCTATAACTCCTTCTCAACACCCTTGTCTCCATGCCCGTGCATCACCTGAGAGCAAGTCTGTGACTTTTGGCTCCCACCTGAGGTTTAGCCAGTTGCAGTCTTCAGCCCCCACCTATATTTGCCTTCAACATTTTTTTTTTTTTTTGGTTTTTCGAGACAGGGTTTCTCTGTGTAGCTTTGCGCCTTTCCTGGGACTCACTTGGTAGCCCAGGCTGGCCTCGAACTCACAGAGATCCGCCTGGCTCTGCCTCCCGAGTGCTGGGATTAAAGGCGTGCGCCACCACCGCCCGGCAAAGATTTATTTATTTATTATATACACAGAAGAGGGCGCCAGATCTCATTACAGATGGTTGTGAGCCACCATGTGGGTGATGGGAATTGAACTCAGGACCTCTGGAAGAGCAGTCGGTGCTCTTAATCTCTGAGCCATCTCTCCAGCCCCTGCCTTCAACATTTTGTATCGAGTCTCCTCTTCTTAATATATGAACCAGGTATTTGGGGTCACAATTAGCTGAACACAAAATTCGGACCATTATTGTCTTCTGAATGTCTTTACCAGGGACTTAGGAGTCCATAAAGATCTTCTATTCCAAAGGCCAAGGCCCAGGGGCTCCTTACCCAAATAAGGTGTCTCCAAGGGCAGACTGTGGGTCTCCTTCCCTGCTCCCTCTGAACTCAGTTTCTCTGGGGCAGCTCCCAGGGACAGGTGAAGTCACTTCTTCCAAAACCTCTTGCTTGCAATAGAGAGGCTTTGGCTTCAGACTCCAGGTAGGACATCAACTCACTGAGTCACCCCTGAAATGGATAAAGATATTCTTGGTGAGAATATCGGTATATTCTTATTTATAGAAATAAAAGCCAGCTACTGGATTGTCTGGTGAGAAACTATATCTGGCTGTCCCATCCCAGAGCAGGGTTCTTTCTTTCCAGTGGCCTCTTCCCAGTCCCATAGCATCTTCAAAGTCTTGTCTCTCAGCCTACCAGGGGAGGTTTCACCCTCTGTACATTCAAAATCCTTTCACTCAGATGAATCTCCTCACATCACAGGAGGGACTAGAAGTGTGTCGTGTCAGTCTGAAATCTTTGCAACCAGATTTTCAATTAATTTCCACTGGTGTCTGGAACCAGGCAGAATTCAGGTGCTCGGGAGCTTGGCAGAATCATGATCTGCCTATCCAAATGCCACTTCCAACTTGGAACCTCAGGCTGCCCCTTTCTTCCTGACCTATCAAGGGTAAAGAGGTTGGAATTCAACCTCAGAACACCCTGTTATCCAATCAAGACCTTAAATCAGTCTTCCTAGCAACATAAAATTAGTATGAGCAAACTAAGAAATTACAACAGGACAAAGCTATCTTAATTTTCTTCCACTTCAGACCAGAGTCCCCCACATTCCCTGCCCAAAGGTAACTGCCAACACTTGTTCACATAGCCCTCTAGCAGCACTGCATACGCACAAGACTATGTAAAAAAGAAAAGCCTCTTTAGGGCAGGTAGAAGCCTATGGCATGTATATTCTGTCTTGTTTCTTCCCTTCTACTCCACATGAAATTTATTTGGAGGTTATTCTATTTCAAGTTATATTAAGCTTGGGCAGAATTTTTTTTCACTCAGTAGTTAATTCTGAATTTGAGTTAAGATCAAGTCAAAGGACGGAGAGACAGCTCAGAAGTTAACACTGACTGTTCTTACAGAAAACCTGGACTCAGTTCCCAGCACCCACATGGTGGTTCAGAAATGGCTGTAACTCCAGTTCCAAGGGATCCAATATCCTCTTCTGGCCCTCAAGGGTACCAGACATGTATGTATCGTGCAGACATATGTGTAGGCAAACACTTCTATACATAAAATAATAAAATAATTTTCTAAAAAAGATAAAGTCAAACTTTGTAGGTGGTACAACCTGAAATATGTGCAGTCCAGTGATTTTGATGAAGGCACCTACCTTGTAAGCTACACCCTGATTCCATCACCCTTCCCTCAAAGGACTTCCCATCTCTTCCAGAAATTGATTCCTCCTTTGGGCAGGCAGGTCCTGGTTTGTCTGTGTGCCTTGGTTTTACCCTCTGAACTTCACAGAAACGGCATCACATAGTTCATACTCTTGGATCTGATTTCTTTTGATAAACAAAGTGCTTTTGAAATTTATTTCTGTTGCTATGTATATCTGTTCATTTATTTACTGTTGTTGTTGTCATGTACTAATCCACCAAATGAACTCGCTATAATTCGTCTATTCTGTTGGTGGACATTTGGGTGTTTTCAGTTTGGGGCTATTATGAATAAAGCTATTATAGAAGTTGCTGGATGCTTTGTTTTTGTGGACATGTTCTTTCATTTCTTCTGGAAGGTCTGAGAGAAGATCTCCATAGCTGGGTATTTGGGAGTTGCTGGCAGGACAGAATCTTCTGCCTACATATGGCACCCAATGTGGGGCACAAACCTATGATCCTGAGATTAAGAGTCTCATGTTTTACAAACTGAGCTAGCCGGGTGAGCATTTATAATTAATACAAGCCTCTGTGTGGTAATTTGGGAAGCAGCTGCTGGGTATTTGGGAGTAGCTGGTGAGACAGAAACTTCTGCCTATACTCCATCTTTTTTTTTTTTTTTTCTCGTTTTTCGAGACAGGGTTTCTCTGTGTAGCTTTGCGCCTTTCCTGGGACTCGCTTGGTAGCCCAGGCTGGCCTCGAACTCACAGAGATCCACCTGGCTCTGCCTCCCGAGTGCTGGGATTAAAGGCGTGCGCCACCACCGCCCGGCAATATACTCCATCTTTTAAACAGTTGCTCATCTTCCACTCTAAGTATGCACCATGGAGTAAACAAGTCCCCTGTTGGTAGACACTCAGGTTTCTTCCCATATATGGCTGCTGCTGCCTAAGAGGAATCTGTGCATAAGTCTTTGTGCATATAAGTAAGAAAAGTATGTTCCTAGAATGACATGCTTGCTCAAAGGATGTGTATTTGATTTTGGAATACCAACATGAGGCAATTGACTTTCTAAGAGGCTCTGTCCATGTGTGTTTTAAGAGCTGTGCCTAGGCCTGATCTCACATACACCTGAGCAACTCTGTGTGGAATCATATTCAACCTTTGTTCTTTCATCTTTTTTTTTTTTTTTCCAGAGCTGAGGACCGAACCCAGGGCCTTGCGCTTGCTAGGCAAGTGCCCTACCACTGAGCTAAATCCCCAACACCTGTTCTTTTATCTTTAAAAAATGCTTTTTCATGACATTCATTCACTCATTCATTTATTTATGTGATGTTAGGACTTGATGAATGCTAAGCTCTACCACTCAGATATAACAGCCATATATTTCTTTAAGTTGTGTATAATGTTCATATTTCCTTGTGTTTGGACATATTTCCTTGTGTTTGTAGTCTATTTAGTCTTTTCCTGTAAGACTTCTGGTTCTTGTTCATGCTATTTTATTTTATTTTTTATTTTTTATTTATTTTTTTTTTTTGTTTTTGTTTTTGTTTTTCGAGACAGGGTTTCTCTGTGTAGCTTTGCGCCCCTCCTGGAACTCACTTGGTAGCCCAGGCTGGCCTCGAACTCACAGAGATCCGCCTGGCTCTGCCTCCCGAGTGCTGGGATTAAAGGCGTGCGCCACCACCGCCCGGCTTATTTTATTTTTTATTTAAAGAAAATGTCTTTTAAGAGTTCTTTTCAGAGCTAGGCATTAATGATGCACACCTTTAATTTCAGCACTCAGAAGGCAGAAGCAGGCAGATCCCTGAGTTCGAGGCCAACCTGGTCTACAAATCAAGCTCCAGGACAGCCAGGACTACACAGGGAGACCATGTCTCAAAAATACAAGACACACACACACACACACACACACACACACACACACACACACACACACACAAATACACAGAGAGAGAGAGAGAGGGAGGAAGGGAGGGAGAGAGAGAGATTCTCATTTGTCAGAACTTTTTATATATTGAAGAAATAAGCCATATGTCATGGGATTTTTCTATAAGATTCTCTGAGGCTACTCACTCTTGTTTGTTCTTTCTTTTCATTTTTGACCTAAGCTAGTCTCACATATTTTTCCATAAGAATTTCTGAATCAGCTTCTCTGGTTCCAAAACAATTCTGGCTCTCTGGTCGGCATCTACATCTCTGGCTCTGGTTCCTACTCCTCTTTCCCCCCTAACCCCAGGGAGCCTTGACCCCAGCGCTGTGGACAATTTGGATGGAATAGTTGTGCTGTAAAGGGCTGCTATTGCTGGATGACAGGGGATTTTCCTCGCTGCCTGCCAATGGCAACTCCTCCTCCAGCTGTGACAATGAAAACTGTCTCCAGACGTTGCCAGATGTCCCTAGGAGGGCAGAATCCCCTGTGACTGAGAGCAACCGACTCCCTTGCATTTAGCTGCACTGGCTTCTGGATGTCCCTTCTCTGCCTCAAATCTTTTCTTAGAAACATTCCTTAAACTGCTTCAAATTGCAGCCCCTCCTCCTGTCCACCTGGCATTCTCCCTGCCATCCTTGGATTTTCTCCACTGCCCTTTCTCCTCCTCCTTGCTCCCTGTCTCTCATCTCCAAGAATGTGAGTATATGTTCACCTGTGGATCATCCTATACCGAGAACACATGGTAGATACACAATAAACACTGTCTGGATGAATGTGCCGGGATGAGTTTGTAGATTGTCATGCAAAAAAAAAAGAAAAAAAGAAAAAAAAGGTGATACTTTTACAGTATTGCCTTCTGTGAAAAGATGGCATTTCCTCTTACACTCAAGTTTGTTTCATTGCTTCATGTATGTAACAGTTTGTTTTTAAAACATTTGAAAAAAATCTTAGCCGGGCCATAGTGGCACACACCTTGGGAGGGAGAGGCAGGTGGATTTCTGTGAGTTCAAGGTCAGCCTGGTCTATATGGTGAGTTCCAGGAAAGCCAGAGCTACGTAGAGAAACCCTGTCTCAGAAATAAATAATAAATAAATTATCCAATTCATGTAGTCAGTGTGTAAAATAAATGAAAAAAAATGTTAATTAAATAAAATTAAAAAAAATCTTTTGCAAGGGCCAAGGTGATGGTTAGGGGAGAGAAGGGGTACTTTCTGGGCAAGCTGGATGGTTGAGTTCAATCCTCAGACTCAGGTTAGGAGCCAGATGTGGTGGCTTGCATTAGAAATCCCAGCGACCCTCAGTTGGAAGTTCAAGAGCCAGCTGACCTCCAGTACACAGCATATCAGCAGAAACCAGAGAGACTCCCTGGGTGTCGGATGGTTCTTTACACCCTCCAAGTCTTCACCAGGTAGTCTGGGAGAGTCTTGGAAGAGAGACCTTGCCCTGGAAGGCTCTGAGAGAAGGACTCGGCAGAAGACTCTTCTTGTCTTCCTTTTCTTCAGCTCTTACAGATAGGCCACTCCTGTGTGGCGTGAAGTCGAATGCCCAGGAGCCTCCCCTCTCTGGGACACAACTCTTCCAAAGCTCTGAGGGCTCCCTCCTGGCTACTGCTCTCTAGGGTCCTCCTTGCTAAGGCTGTGGTGAGGGTAGACACCAAGGCTACGTGAGACTCAGACCCATGCTAACGGACCTCAAGGCAACATTGACAGTATTCAAGGCACCCTCCAGAGGCCTGAAGCTGTGACCTGGTGCCATAAGCATCGAGGACCCAACACTGTTGGACCCCTCCTCGCAAGACCAGGATTGTGAGACGAGCCCAGGCCACCGTACTCATGTCCAGCGTGCCCAACAGTAACCTCTGCCCTGGGCCCAGTGGTGCTGCCCTGAGAAGGGAGCTGGGTTTCTGAGGCTTGGCAGTGCCAGCCTGCAGC